TCTTTCTTTCTTTCTTTCTTTCTTTCTTTCTTTCTTCTTTCATTTATTACTTCTTCATGCACAATGATTCTCCAGTTTGCCCATGACTTACTGTATCTTCACAAACATTCCAAGGAAAAACAATGACATCACAATAAAAAGTACTCTCACTTTCAATGCATTATCCATTTAACAGCTTACCTACTAGTTTATATTGTTTTGATAATCTAAGCTACATTCTAATAGTACGTTTGTTCTTTTTGAGCCAGGGAATGTGCCCCTAGTAAAAACGAATACTCTTTTGCATTGTTATTTTGTCCTAGGTAAAGCTGGAATGTGAATATAAATAAAAGAGACCGACGGTTTATTATTACCTGAAATACATTTGTGAAAATGATTAAAATATTACAGATTGAATTTGTGTTCATAAATTGTATGCATTCTTAGGGTTAGTTCTTATTTGTGTGAGAACTTGCCAAATACAAATTTGTCTTGAGGTAATTTTTTTACTCTGAATGTAACGTGAAGTAAGTAAAAGTAACTGATTAAATACAGAACATGAAAGCTGTCTTCTCCTCTGCACCTTACCACCTACCACTCGGTTTCGCTGCACTTTTTTTTCTTAAGGTTTATTTCACTGTAAGGCTGTTCTGTTTTGATTTTTTTTTTTCTTTTCTGTTTTTGGGACAGGGTCTACAGAGTCTTACTACATAGATCGGACTCATGGTGATCAGCCTGTTTACAGCCTCCCAAGTGCTGGGATTACAGGCGGGCGTCACCATGCCCAGTCTCCATCGCTGTCTCAGCATGCCCCAGTGGTGAGGCCGGCACAGCACGCCGGGGATCAAACTCTGGCATCTGTGCTCTGCCTAAGCAAGCACAGTAGTCTGCTGAGCTATCAGGCTGGCCCTCTATTTTGATTCTTAAACTAGATTATTAACATAAAATTAAAATTTCTTAGAACAATATTTACATGATAATCTAATTGCCAATCTCTTAGTAAAGAAAATAATTCAGAACCAGGGAGATGGCTCAGTAGAATAAATGCTTCCCTGGCAAGTGCAAGAGCCCGAGTTCAATACCCAGTTCCACCACCGAAAAAAAAAAAAAATCAACTGGCCTGATTCATAGTCAATCCTATTTATACATTATTTTCCAGAACAAATATACGCCTTTCAAAGCTAATTATTTTTCACTTGTGAGTAGAAGTGGAGAATCTTAAATTTCATTTATTCTCCAAAATTACAAATAAAATTAATTTAACTGCATCCCTTTCTTCAACGCTTTTGGCCCTGTAGACTTTGTAATTTTCTATGACTCTGTTTTCTAACTTTCAGCTGATGTCTTAGGTCCTTGCTGCTTCTGCTAAATTTCCATTTGCTCTCTATTATGTGATGCAAATTCTATTTTGAACTAGAAGACAAGCTGTGATGTGAAGGAACAGCAAGCCCCATTCACAGTTCCAAACCCATGGAGTGCAGCCAGTAGCCTTTGATAACTACAGAAAATAACAAGCCTGTTATGATACCTCATAGGGGAAGGAAAGTAGCTGCGTGCCTTGCATTAATTTTCTCCCAGTGCATACTTTTCAATCTTCTAGTCAACCTTATTGTTTCAAGATCTCCACATCCAATAGAAAATTTTTTTAAGAAAGATGATGGAATCCCAAATACAATAAAATCTAGGGAAATATCTTAGATAGATAAATAGATAGACAGATATACATATGGATATATGGCAGATAGATAAATAAATATAGACAGATAGACAGACAGACAGTTATGAGTAGGTGATTCCATAGAATTCGATTTCGGGAAAGAACTTTGAGTGATTATTTCCTCCACTAAAATATGGTGGCATTAACATTCCTCATGATTTTTCTCCAAATTCAGATCTCTTTCAAACCAACAGAGGAGAAGCAAGGAATAGAAACTATGTAAGGACCCATATATTCTTTATCCACAAAACAGATCTTTGACGACAATTCTTCTCAACTTCTTGAAATCTAAATAAATGAAGAAATTTTAAATTTTCTATCTTTTACACTATTTTGCCAATTCAAGACAGTGCCATCACTCAAAAGTTTCCCAGTTACCCAATTCAAAAACTTGCGCCGCTCACCTGCATGGGCAGTGCTGAAAAAGTAGCATCTATGTGTGCGTTAGCTTGTGTGAAAGCTCAGACACTCACTCTGGTTTTATCCTCCGTATCATTTGTGTGTGACATGCGTGAGAGTCCAGACGTGTGCGAGGGGGGTGTGTTCACCTCGGCATCTGAGTGGGTGTGGAATATTTTCCTGCTAGGCAAAAGGAGAAAGGAAGCCAAGGAATCCGGAAAGTACCACAATGCAAGGCAGCGAACAGCCTAGATTGTAGCTTACTGACCAGGTTAGAGAATATTAAGTTTAACACTACAGAATATTATATATTTGCATACATTGTATTTATTAATTTTCAAAGCAAAGTTATAGGAATATTTTTTGGATAAATAAGCTTAGTAAACTATTATAGGAACCCCAAAAGCACTTGTCAGTTTTTCCTCTGGGAGAATTTTTACAAATTCTAAAAAAATAATGTGGCATATTGATTTATTGGAATTAATCCATTTATGAATATGAAATCCCAAATACTTGTCTATATTTCTCTACATATTTATATAGTAACATACAACTGTAAATATGTGTGTTTTGTTGTATGTATACGTATATTCTATTGCAGCAGATAACTCAACTGGAACATGAATTTCTTGCTTTGACATTTTCAGCAGGGTCCAGCATTCACTTAAAAAATTCTTAAATACTTTTAACACATAGATTTATTCTTTATAAATATCATTCTGTCACATAGCTTCATCCAGAACAAAAAGTCCTCAGCAAATCTGGAATGATTACCAAGATAGGTACATAGACCAAAGAGTCACTGATTGAATGGAAGAAAATTTGCTGAAAATCAATTTTAAAAATGGGAAAACAAATGAACATAGTGATGGTGACAGTGGCTCAAGTCCAAAATGAGTGACAGATTTTATAATGGCTGATGATCCTCAAAGAGATTTGTCTATGTCCTCAACCCTTGACTCTATGAATATGACATTATATGGCAATGAAAACAATGTGGCAATAAAGATTTTGAGCCAAGGAGCTCACCCTGGATGATGGAGGGGGGCCATCCGTGAGAGTATCTATAAGAGGGTGGCAGGGAAGCCTGAGAGTGCAGAGGAGGCCAGGCTCCTCTGCAGCAATGCAGTAATGAGGCCAGAGAACCCCTGGGGATCCAGGAGCCAGAAGAGATGGGAAACATATTCTTCTCTGGAGCCTGTATAGGAAATTGCACCCTATCAAGTCCTTGGCTTCAGATTTCTTTTTTTTTTTTT